CCCCCTCCAGCCAATGCACCTTAATTCCCTTTATTTTTTATCATTTACTTACTAATTAATGAGCTCAATTCTCATTATTAATTAATTAATTAATTATCTCCACCAAAATCTAGTCCACTTCTGTCCTGACCTAAATTTAATTAAAATCCCTCCATAACTTTCCATAATTTTGCTGAAAGACAAATATCCTTTTTAATTAACTTATTAATTAAACAATTAATGAACAGATTGTCACCAAAGTCTTATTGCTTGTTACACTCTCCTTCTGACAGTTTCTAATATTCTCATCTCTCTAAAAATCTGTCCACAGCTTCTTGTGTAATGTTGCTAACAGAAAGACCTGCAAACACACATGGAACCAAAAACATAACCTCCAATAGGCAGGTGTAATAAAACATCCACGGAATTATCATACACATTGACCCTTTTCTGGAGCCTTTTCTGTTATAACTTGTCTTCTCTGCACTCAGTCCATTAGCAATTTCAAACATATTTTCCAAATTCAGATCATTTTAAACTAAATTATCTTATTAGAAATGGCATAAAACATCAAACCCAAGTGAAGATTGAGGAGGCAGGTCAAATAATTTGTACCCTTTAAATTTCCACCTAAAAATGGCCTAGTCTACCAAGAAGATGAATGTGACACAGCTCCTGTTCATTTTAAAAGCAGAAGCAAAAAGTGATAAAAAAAGGGAAATTTTTGCTTTTAAAGTGTTTGATTTCACTGCACTAAGACGCAAAAAAAAAAAAAAAAAAGTAACTTACATAAAAGAAAAGGGGGGAAAAGCTATTTTGACCAATTTAGTCAATTTTAACGTTTCTATCTACTTTAATCACACATTTCAATGATTTAGTTTATACCCCAATTACTGTTCTGCACCACTCCATTCTCTCCCCTGAAGAAAAAAGCTATCACTTCATTTTTACCTTAAATGCATTCCTTCTGAAGAAAGCTTTGCAGGACTCACACGACACCACTCCAAAGTTGTGCCCTAGGGCCTTGTCTCCACACACCATACAGATCTTAGAAGGTACTTTCTTTGGTTTGGTGCCAGACTTATATGCAGCCTCTGTATCCTCAGTACTACCAGATGAAGACATGGTGTCCGACTGGACTGGCAGGAAAGCTATGCTCTGATTTTGAGACTCTGACATGGAATCCTCCTCAATATACATTGGTCCAGCTTTGACAGATTCTTCCGAATTACTGCTGAGGTTTAGAGCATGGATTTCTGGTTCCTGAAAGCCGTTTTCTAGTGGGGTCCTGCCTTGATGAAAATCACTTGGGATCAGATCATCCATTGCTTTGCCAGGATACAATGGACTGTTCAATTTGCTCTTCTTTTTACAGAATTTATGGTCACTGCCAAAAGGATATGGATGCTGAAAAGTAAAGTTTTAGTTAGAAGAATAACCAGCCTGTTAGAAGAGTAACCAGTTAGAAGAATAACCAGCCATCATATCTAGAATTTGAAAAAAAAAAAAAAAAATGGCAGTTACTGATCCCCAGATCAACATCAAACCCAAACAACAGTCAGGAAGCACAATAAATAAGTAAATAAATAAATAGATAAATAAATAAATAATGCACATATCATATCTTCTTTTTATTACACTCAGATTGGACCAGTGAAGTTTGAATTTAATGCAGACTCTGAGCCCAAATTATGGCTTTTGATGTATTTGTAAACATTTCAACAGAACTGTAAAACAAATAGACATAATTGAGGACCTTCATGTACTATGCATGACAAGGACAGATCCTTCTCTCTTTCTCTCTTAGACCAAGGAAGTAAAGTGTACCAGTATCTACTAAATCATGCTATTTCATCTTTAAAAATAGACTAATGAATTGATTTTAAAAAATGTATCAATGTATCAAAACAGGTCAACCATCTTCACTAAATTAAGTGAACTACTTATCTATTTAACAAACACGTATATACGTACAAGTCGTCTGACTTATTCAGAGCCATCTTTTTGTTTTGAGTACCTTTATGACTGGGTCAACATCACCAACAGACTGACCCTGCAGCTTTTGACCTCGACTGCCCTCATAATGAAATCAGAATCCATTGATCCAGTGCATGCTTGCTAACCTTGTTAAACACTACTGGCAAATGAAAACTAAATATCAGTACTAAACTATAATAAGCTACCAGACAAAATTCTTTCCCAATTAAGTAACCATTCAGTCACTCCTTAAGAATTCATTCAGCTCATGACTAGTGTGTGTGTGTGTGTGTGTGTGTGTGTTTTCTTTAAGTGATATGGCGGTGAACTTGACCTGAGAAATATTGACCTAGTTAAAGTTCAGAACCTGGGTAAAGTACAGACGCACATACCTACATAGTTGGACCTCTCAGTCCACTGTCTGCTTGCTACTTTTTAAACTGTTAAGACAATGTGCATGTATGCCTCAATATCCTGCTGCCTAAATTTTTAAATATTGTCTTAAATTGATAGTTTTGAATGGTAGTTTCCCATCCACTGACGTCATCCTGGCCTATATCTGACTTGCAACTTTATCAATCAAGCACACGTCTATATCTAGCTTGTATCAAAATGAACATTGATGCATACTAGTATACATAATTCCTTGGATTTATGTATAAATAAATATCTGCATATATATTTTTTTTATTGTGATAAATTATGTTAACCTCTTCCTGTAAAACCAGTAAATGATTTTTATTAGCAATGTAACATATCTAACCCAATTAATACACATTTTTTATAGATATCAATTATTTTGTGTACATATGTCACATTTTATTTCCATTATTTCCACTATAATCTCTTTTTTTCTGATCTCATTTATCCTTCCCTGTTTCCAAGTTTTCACCTTTTTAGGCTTTTTTTATCGTACACTGATATACATCATCAGGGCCTATACTGAGTAGCAAATCTCTTGAACCTCATATTCAAATTTAGGCCACACGTCTCCCTAGCACGTATCAAAAAAGAAAATTAACAACACAATCATAATTTTATGGTTCATTGTGTAAATAAAAATCTACAGATATTTTTCCATTAAGAGAAATTATGTTCACCTATTTCTGTACAAATAATATATAGCACTTGGCTACACACTATTATTGCTGTAGGATTTCTAACCCATATCACATATTTTGCCTCACTTACATAGATCATATTTCCACTATTTCTGCTACAATCTTTTTTTCTGTTCCATTTTTTCCTTCCCTGTTTCCAAATTTTCACCTCATCCGGCATTTTTCTTCTGCACCATCCACGGGCTCAGCTCTCCAGATCATACACCTACAGGTGATGTGCATGCGCAGAAACAGGTCAGGGTACTTTTAATACTGCTGCCTTATGACATTAAAGTACATTTGTTGCTCTACTAAACCTACTGGTATCTACTATAAAAGATGAATTCAAAGAGGGTTGACATGTCAATATATATACACTTAACCTGACCATATGCCACCGCCACTTACTAGTAACCCGACCATATGCCACCGCGCAGTTTAAAATATTACCATAACTTAAAGTAACCCCAAAAGGCATTATTACATATTTCCGGAAAAATGATTTTTAAACAGATTATTTTCAGCTTTTTTTTGTGCTATATGTAACCCTCTGCCATTTTTGCCAAACCTAAATAAACTTAACTGTTATTGCATGTGCAACAGTAATTAATGCGTCATTCATCACTTCCTCATTTGACAAACTGTTAAGAAGTTAATGGATGGATTTAAGTGCATGTTGGCCAAGTTTACCACCAGAAATTTGAAGAAAGTGCAGTTTTAAATCTTCTTTTGGACTGGTCAAGTAATAAGTTTGGTTTATCCTTTGACATGTGGCCAAATTGCATGGGGTACTGGTAGTATAGTGGTTTTATTATTTGTCTTACAGGAAATCTAGCTGGTTTCGTTCATATGTAACTATAATGCAAAATTTGTAAATTTGTTTATTTGTATATCTATTTATTAATCAAACATATGCTTCCTTTATATCTTTTTTTTCTACAGGCAAAAAAATGCCTTTTTGTCTCCATCTCTGTAATGTTAGCGAGTTTTCTAAATAACAGGTTAAATTAATAATAAAAATAAGTTTTATATTTGTGTCATGGGGTAATGGAGAAATAATTTCAATTGACATTAAGTTCATCAAATGGATACCTGGATGAGTGAGATTATCTGTTAATCCCACCTTTACTTGGTGATGCATCTTGATTATTGTCAAGCAGTGTGATGAGGGGGGTGGGGGTAAAGCAATTAAAAATATCAGTCAGTTCATCAAAAGGATACCTGGATAAGTGAGATTGTTTACTCAACTCTACCTGGAGATACTTTATAATAAAAAGAAGGTATTTATAATTTTTCTCAATATCACATTGTTTATTCTCATCATTATATACAGTGCAGGGGGAGGATTGTCTGCAGGGGAATTGTCCTCATACCCCTCTCTTGCTATTGTACTGCATTAATCCACTGCACTAACCTAATTATTTTCAAACCATACCGATCCATATGCTTGCTNTCTCCAGCCAATGCACCTTAATTCCCATTATTTTTTATCATTTACTTACTAATTAATGAGCTCAATTCTCATTATTAATTAATTAATTAATTATCTCCACCAAAATCTAGTCCACTTCTGTCCTGACCTAAATTTAATTAAAATCCCTCCATAACTTTCCATAATTTTGCTGAAAGACAAATATCCTTTTTAATTAACTTATTAATTAAACAATTAATGAACAGATTGTCACCAAAATCTTATTGCTTGTTACACTCTCCGTCTGACAGTTTCTAATAATCTCATCTCTCTAAAAATCTGTCCACAGCTTCTTGTGTAATGTTGCTAACAGACAGACATGCAAACACACATGGAACCAAAAACATAACCTCCAATAGGCAGGTGTAATAAAACATCCAAGGAATTATCATACACATTGACCCTTTTCTGGAGCCTTGTATGTTATAACTTGTGTTCTCTGCACTCAGTCCATTAGCAATTTCAAACATATTTTCCAAATTCAGATAATTTTAAACTAAATTATCTTATTAGAAATGGCATAAAACATCAAACCCAAGTGAAGATTGAGGAGGCAGGTCAAATAATATGTACCCTTTAAATTTCCACCTAAAAATGGCCTAGTCTACCAAGAAGATGAATGTGACACAGCTCCTGTTCATTTTAAAAGCAGAAGCAAAAAGTGATAAAAAAGGGAAATTTTTGCCTTTAAAGTGTTTGATTTCACTGCACTAAGACGCAAAAAAAAAAAAAAAAAAGTAACTTACATAAAAGAAAAGGGGGAAAAGCTATTTTGACCAATTTTATTCAATTTTAACGTTTCTATCTACTTTAATCACACATTTCAATGATTTAGTTTAATACTGTTCTGCACCACTCCATTCTCTCCCCTGAAGAAAAAAAAAAGCCATCAATTCATTTTTACCTTAAATGCATTCCTTCTGAAGAAAGCTTTGCAGGACTCACATGACACCACTCCAAAGTTGTGCCCTAGGGCCTTGTCTCCACACACCATACAGATCTTAGAAGGTACTTTCTTTGGTTTGGTGCCAGACTTATATGCAGCCTCTGTATCCTCAGTACTACCAGATGAAGACATGGTGTCCGACTGGACTGGCAGGAAAGCTATGCTCTGATTTTGAGACTCTGACATGGAATCCTCCTCAATATACATTGGTCCAGCTTTGACAGATTCTTCCGAATTACTGCTGAGGTTTAGAGCATGGATTTCTGGTTCCTGAAAGCCGTTTTCTAGTGGGGTCCTGCCTTGATGAAAATCACTTGGGATCAGATCATCCATTGCTTTGCCAGCATGCAATGAACTGTTCAAATTGCTCTTCTTTTTACAGAATTTATGGTCACTGCCAAAGGGATATGGATGCTGAAAAGAAAAGTTTTAGTTAGAAGAATAACCAGCCTGTTAGAAGAATAACCAGTTAGAAGAATAACCAGCCATCATATCTAGAATTTGAAAAAAAAAAATGGCAGTTACTGATCCCCAGATCAACATCAAACCCAAACAACAGTCAGGAAGCACAATAAATAAATAAATAAATAAATAAATAAATAATGCACATATCATATCTTCTTTTTATCACACTCAGATTGGACCAGTGAAGTTTGAATTTAATGCAGACTCTGAGCCCAAAATATGGCTTATGATGTATTTGTAAACATTTCAACAGAACTGTAAAACCAATAGACATAATTGAGGACCTTCATGTACTATGCATGACAAGGACAGATCTCTCTCTCTCTCTCTCTTAGACCAAGGAAGTAAAGTGTACCAGTATCTACTAAATCATGCTATTTCATCTTTAAAAATAGACTAATGAATTGATTTAAAAAAATGTATCAGTGTATCAAAACAGGCCAACCATCTTCACTAAATTAAGTGAACTACTTATCTATTTAACAAACACGTACGTACAAGTCGTCTGACTTATTCAGAGCCATCTTTTTGTTTTGAGTACCTTTATGACTGGGTCAACATCACCAACAGACTGACCCTGCAGCTTTTGACCTCGCCTGCCCTCATAATGAAATCAGGATCCATTGATCCAGTGCATGCTTGCTAACCTTGTTAAACACTACTGGCAAATGAAAACTAAATATCAGCACTAAACTATAATAAGCTACCAGGAAAAATTCTTTCCCAATTAAGTAACCATTCAGTCACTCCTTAAGAATTCATTCAGTTCATGACTAGTGTGTGTGTGTGTGTGTGTGTGTGTGTGTGTGTGTGTGTGTTTTCTTTAAGTGATATGGCGGTGAACTTGACCTGAGAAATATTGACCTAGTTAAAGTTCAGAACCTAGGTAAAGTACAGACGCACATACTTACATTGTTGGACCTCTCAGTCCACTGTCTGCTTGCTACTTTTTAAACTCTTAAGACAATGTGCATGTATGCCTCAATATCCTGCTGCCTAAATTTTTAAATATTGTCTTAAATTGATGGTTTTGAATGGTAGTTTCCCATCCACTGACGTCATCCTGGCCTATATCTGACTTGCAACTTTATCAATCAAGCACACGTCTATATCTAGCTTGTATCAAAATGAACATTGATGCATACTAGTATACATAATTCCTTGGATTTATGTATAAATAAATATCTGCATATATTTTTTTTATTGTGATAAATTATGTTAACCTCTTCCTGTAAAACCAGTAAATGATTGTTATTAGCAATGTAACATATCTAACCCAATTAATACACATTTTTTATAGATATCAATTATTTTGTGTACATATGTCACATTTTATTTCCATTATTTCCACTATAATCTCTTTTTTTCTGATCTCATTTTTCCTTCCCTGTTTCCAAGTTTTCACCTTGTTAGGCTTTTTTTATCGTGCACTGATATACATCATCAGGGCCTATACTGAACAGCAAATCTCTTGAACTTCATATTCAAATTTAGGCCACACGTCTCCCTAGCACGTATCAAAAAAGAAAATTAAGAACCCACTCGTAATTTTATGGTTCATTGTGTAAATAAAAATCTACAGATATTTTTCCATTAAGAGAAATTATGTTCACCTATTTCTGTACAAATAATATATAGCACTTGGCTACACACTATTATTACTGTAGGATTTCTAACCCATATCACATATTTTGCCTCACTTACATAGATCATATTTCCACTATTTCTGCTACAATCTCTTTTTCTGTTCCATTTTTTCCTTCCCTGTTTCCAAATTTTCACGTCATCCGGCATTTTTCTTCTGCACCATCCACGGGCTCAGCTCTCCAGATCATACACCTACAGGTGATGTGCATGCGCAGAAACAGGTCAGGGTACTTTAAATACTGATGCCTTATGACATTAAAGTACATTTGTTGCTCTACTAAACCTACTGGTATCTACTATAAAAGATGAATTCAAAGAGGGTTGACATGTCAATATATATACACTTAACCTGACCATATGCCACCGCCACTTACTAGTAACCCGACCATATGCCACCGCGCAGTTTAAAATACCATAACTTAAAGTAACCCCAAAAGGCATTATTACATATTTCCGGAAAAATGATTTTTAAACAGATTATTTTCAGCTTTTTTTGTGCTATATGTAACCCTCTGCCATTTTTGCCAAACCTAAATAAACTTAACTGTTATTGCATGTGCAACAGTAATTAATGCGTCATTCATCACTTCCTCATTTGACAAACTGTTAAGAAGTTAATGGATGGATTTAAGTGCATGTTGGCCAAGTTTACCACCAGAAATTTGAAGAAAGTGCAGTTTTTAATCTTCTTTTGGACTGGTCAAAGTTTGGTTTATCCTTTGACATGTGGCCAAATTGCATGGGGTACTGGTATTATAGTGATTTTATTATTTGTCTTACAGGAAATCTAGCTGGCTTCGTTCATATGTAACTATAATGCAAAATTTGTTTATTTGTATATCTATTTATTAATCAAACAAATACTTCCTTTATATCTTTTTTTTCTACAGGCAAAAAAATGCCTTTTTGTCTCCATCTCTGTGATGTTAGCGAGTTTTCTTAATAACAGGTTAAGTTAATAATAAAAATAATGATAGCAAAAAAAGTTTTGAAGTTTTATATTTGTGTCATGGGGTAATGGAGAAATAATTTCAATTGACAATAAGTTCATCAAATGGATACCTGGATGAGTGAGATTCTCTGTTAATCCCACCTTTACTTGGTGATGCATCTTGATTATTGTCAAGCAGTGTGATGAGGTGGTGGGGGGTAAAGCAATTAAAAATATCAGTCAGTTTATCAAAAGGATACCTGGATAAGTGAGATTGTTTACTCAACTCTACCTGGAGATACTTTATAATAAAAAGAAGGTATTTATAATTTTTCTCAATATCACATTGTTTATTCTCATCATTATATACAGTGCAGGGGGAATTGCCGGGGGGGGGGGGGGGAGGATTGTCTGCAGGGGAATTGTCCTCATACCCCTCTCTTGCTATTGTACTGCATTAATCCACTGCACTAACCTAATTATTTTCAAACCATACCGATCCATATGCTTGCTTTTCCCCAAGCTCACATGTGGCCATTACAACTACCTGTTATACAGTTTCCTTTAGCCTTGTTTGCCAATATTAATTCAAAGCTTAATTGTGTTCCTGCTGCAGTCATCTTACTTCTTTGACCTCTTAACTTAAAATTAAGCCAATACTGTTTCAGCACATGTTCTCAATACATACCTCTCACAAGTAGAATTCTAGGCCTCTGACGGCTTAACAACTGTGCTCTTAGCTTTATAGTATACGAGTACTAGTTTGTCTGTGTTGCTAACAACATTCCCTACAAGAATTAACTCATTTACAATTTTATAGATTCACAAAATGACCACACGTAAAAACAGTAATACATATTAAAATGTACATAGTTTTCATAATCATACATAACTGTTGTATATACAGTTCTGTATAGCTACACTTCTTGACATATATAGGGTAAACAATGAAAAAAAAACATTTAAAAAAATAGAGTTTGGCACTTACATGGTGAACATCGCCAAAGTTCACATACAACAACTCAAAAAAATCTGTAACTTTCATAAATATAATCCCATCATACTGATTTGTGTGAGGAACCTGCCTTACTATCATATAAGGCCACATTGCAAATATATATATTTAAATTAAAGTAAAACAAAAGAACGGATCTGCACTTATGAGGTGAAAGTTGCCAAATATATGCAACACCCCCAGATCAAAAAAAAAAAAAAACAATTTATTATAATGTTAAAAATATGAATCCAATTGTGCTGAACTTCAAAGGGAACTTTTTATTAATCAATGCTACTCAGTAAATTTAAAGTAAAACAAAATATGGTTTAAATTGGCAGTTATAGAGACAGATGTTTCAGACAGGAACAGCAATACTACTAGAAACAATGAGAGCATTTCCAACCAACTGATCTGCATACTAACTACAAAGCTGTATTCAAAACCATTTCGAAGCCTATCAAAAAAAGTCCTGAATCCATTCCTGAAGGAAAAACCAAAGGTTACCCCGGATTTTTATTAACCTCATCTGATCCATACTGGTACCTATAACCCGCAGAAGCTAGACGACATTCATTATTGAAGAAAAGCCCAATTTTTCACTGCTGATGATAAAATCTGAACATCTGCTTTGAAGGACAAATGAAGATGTGGCTCAATAAAACTTTTCCATAGCAACACAGAGGTGTCATAATAATGTTGATATGGGTCGTCTAGCGACTCCTGTAACTTAGAAAACTTTGGAACTGAAAAACAGGTCACGTTGACTTCATGATGTCTCAGAGATTGTGAAACAGGAGCGTTAGAAGAAACAAATTATGAAATTTTAAAATTCTAATAACAATGCCTGTCTATAGATAAAAAAAAAAAACCTCACTGCTACAACCTCAGTCAGGTTTTAAACATGCATAATCTGTTTCATGTCTAGGGAGAGGTAAATGTACTTACAGTATCTTGATTACAATGTTGAATAAAAACTACGGTAAATAATTGGGGAATGATGCTTTGCAGGATTTTGTTGTCATGCAACACACGGATTATGAAAAGGTCTTTCTTTACAAATTAGTGAAATCAAAAACTTACTGCTTTCATGACAAACAAGAACTGCGGAATCAGATATGTGAATGAAAATATTCATAATCACAAAAAAGGTGGGGCATAAAATGCACTGCTTTGTTAAATAAAAGCTAGTTAATTTAATTAGAGAACTGAAATTTGATTTTAAAGAAGATGCTCGAGCTGGCCTTGCCAAGAAAGCTTGAAAATATCAGAGCCATGTTCACTTGTCAATTTTGAAAATAATGTTCAGTCTAAGATCCAGATCAATCTCTAGATAACTAGTGGTAGAGTACTATAGCTAGTACTTTGATGGGGAAA